GCGTCCTTCGTACGATGCCAGCCGCCGCGCGACGAGGGGGAGGTACGTATGTGTGCGTGCGTGTGCGTGTGTGCAGGAAGCGTGCGGGACCGCGTCCTTCGTACGATGCCAGCCGCCGCGCGACGAGGAGGAGGTACGTATGTGTGCGTGTGCGTATATATATATGTATATGTATATATATACATATAGCTATGAGTTGTCATCACACATGTGAGTGAAAGACGTTTGACATCATGATGTTGTGTGATGTCGTGTTCGTTCCCTCGTCACGCATGTCACCAAGATGTCACACGTCGTATGCGTCACTACGAACGAGCGCGACATCCCGTAGGGGGCGCCTCCGTACACGTGTCGCGCCGTAAACCAATCACACATCTCGGCTGCTCTCAGTCTGCCAGACGACTGCCCGGCAATCGCTATGTGGTCGTCCCTGAGCAGTAGAAGTATGAAAGAAAAAAAGAATTTAAGTAAAAAATATAAGAAAAAGTAGAAATAGAACAATGAAAGAAGAAAAGAATTTAAGTAAAAAAAATATAAGAAAAAGTATAAATAGAACAATGAAAGAAGAAAAGAATAAGTAAAAAATAGAAGAAAAGTACAAGTATAAGTAGGATTGGCAGCGGCGACGCACGCTGTGAGGTCGCCGCGTTAAGCTGGCTTTACACTACTGACTTGGCGAATTGGCGAATTGGACCAACTTCCCAACTATACAACCGACAATCGGCAGTGTAAACGCAAAAGTTGCACGACCAACTGATCGAGCGCAACTAGTTGGGAGATTAGAACATGTTCTATTTTCACCAACTCGGAGTTGCCGAATTGCAAAATTGGTCCAACTCGCCAATTCGCTAGTTCGCCAACATAAAGTTCAGGGTTAGAAATTAACTTTTGAACAAGGGAGTCCAACGCTCCCTGCCCTCAAAAAGAGGGAGTTCGTAGCCAAATGAGGGAGTCCGCAGTCTGAAGTTCAAAACTTTGAGCACAACAACAATAACGCATGTGCGTATTTGAAGATTCATGCGATGCACGTCTACCAAATTTTCTTTGGACATTTGCTGGAAAAAATACGGTAATTCCGTAACGCCGTGCTCTGGAACGAACTTGTTAGTATAGCAGAATTTTCAGGGAGTCACACGGACGCCTGCATATGTCAAATCAGGGAGTCCGACAGTAAATCGGGGAGTATTTGACTCCGGACTCGCGTTAATTTCGCAGCCTGAAGTCGGTAATGTGAACCGAGCTTTAGACTC